CAGAATGCATCTGAACTGATAATTGATGAAAGTGTTTTTAGCATCAACCTGCTGCTAGTTTATCAAGCGGTCGCAGCCACAGGCTTTCACTAACTGCGCTCCATGAAGAAATACTATGTAAGAAGAGACTAAAATAAAAGAATAAAGAGATTTAGTTGGCAGAAACGAGTTAGAAAAGTAAGATAGAAGCTAAACAGAGTGTAAAAGTGAACAACCTCATCACCCTTTAAGAACCTGGCTCAAGAGTAAAGACGATGAGTCTTACTGCAAATAATGTAAAAATGTTTAAGAAAGTAACTTGATGATGACAATATCAGAAGGCCGGCCAAGATACAAGATATAGCAAAGATACAACTCAGCCAATAACAAGGACAAGGTAGGGCCAAGCCTGAGGCATTCACAATCCAACACAACCTTCAGCCGTCCATGAAATACTCACAAAATGCAATTCTTAGTTTTGTGTACAGAGACACCAGTGGTCTTTCTTTCTCAGAACAACATTCTGTTAATGGAAACCAAATCAGCCTTCAGATGAAGACAATTGGAAACCACCATATAAGTCTAAGGAGAAGAGTTGGCCCGGGGTTGTTAGCCAGTCTTAGAACCAGGGCGGGACTAAACAAAGACTCAAAGAGGGGCAGCAGAACCGCTTTGACAACGGTAAGGAGAGGTTTGAAAGGAAAATCAGTGTATACTTAGTTAGACATAACAGCACTATATCTTTACGTTGCAAACAGCGGTTGGCTGCTATGTCGATGAACTACTAATTTACCACCTCGAATACTGGCCTGTCTGTTTGTAATCATTCACAGTTGGACCAATGAGATCCAACTATGAATGCAGCGTTACTTCTAATTGTTTCAAAGTGGGGGCTAAAGCACCAATGAACACACTCACACTTTCAAACAAATGCCAGATTTAGAATGAAAGGACCCAACGGCACTGATCAGAGACGCCTCAGTGTCAGGCGCCAAGTGGCTCGTCAGTGGCTGTATTTGACAAAGTTGGAACAAGATTTAGCTTCACACCATGCTGAGTTACAACTCCATGTGGGGCCCAAAGCCCCCTTTCTGCTGCCCAAAAAACAGCCCGAACATAATAAGGAAAATAGTTTTAGTGGGTTATTAAGAGCGTTTCTTTCTTATGTCAGTGTATACATTTTGGGGGCGAAATGGTGTATATTTATAGGCCTTCCTGTAGTATTGTCAAGTTTAGGGACATTTTACGAAACTGTGGAATTTATATATTTTTCTACAAACAGAAGCCTCTACTATGATAATCCTTTTGAAAGATTCTACAAGGACATTCTATTATTTCTCTCTCTGATCCCAAGGCATTGTAGTCCCCACAGATGAGATGAAGGGAAGCAGAACAAGCAAAAAGGCCATGGGGAGTACATTCAGATAGGATAATCAGGTCTATAGTGGATATTACCAACTCAAATGAATCATGGGACTGTGCCGAATGACTGTGTGCACTTCTGCTTCTACAAAGATGTTTAACCGCAGGCTAACAAACTAACACATTCATTTTCCAAGAAAAAAAAAATAGGACCTCAAGTTGTGGTGTAAGAAGAAACAGTGAAGAAGTGTATAGATATTCAACGCTTCATAATGCCGTAGTATTAAAACTATTGGCAATTGCCTTTTACTCAGAAACTAATGTGCAGGTGCTTTAGCTAGCTGGATGTCATGTTGCTGGACATACTGGTACCTCTACAATTCATTTATGGTTTTCTCCTACAGGAGACGGAGAAAAAGATAAGCAGATTGAGACTAAACGGATCGTAGCATTGAAATCCCACCTCCTCATCACCAAATAAAAGCTGCTTTTCATTTGAGTATTGAGTAAAATAAATGATCCAAGATGTTAAAATGCATATTCAACTAGCGAACTTCAGAAACACCACTCAGACCTCATGCTCACACATTCAACGCTATATTACTGATGTTATTGACCTGCACACTTCCCAATTGTAGCTATTCATTTTCTTCATTGTCATGACTACTCTTGATTTACATTCATCCGTTTTGACCGTGGTCCAAATGTCTTTCATGGCTCTATGAGCCAGGTTGTGACAAACTGGGGGCCTGTCCGGGATCTCAACAGGTTTCCTGTAGATACGCCCAACCTAGTAGTAACACAGAGGGGCTCGTTCAAGATTTAGAACAGGTACCATGGACTAAAATAAAAGGGTGTGAGAATGAATCTTAAGCTTGCTGTTAAAGACAACTCTGTTACATCTCACTCTGGTGAACCTGAGGTTTTGGGACCCTATGGTCCTCATTGGAGGTATTCTTGTGGCAGGTGAAGTCCCAATGAAAGTCTTGTGGGATACACTCGCCTCTCATTTTAATATCACTTGCAGAACAAGTATCCCGACGGAGCTGGTTGAGTGTGGTAGCAGTGGGTGTCCATACGCTGTTGAAAGTCTACTTTTCATTTTGGCTAACAGCTTGGTTGGAAGCAGCATTTGTACAGACACTCCTCTGACACGGGAGGTCACGTTTTCCAATTGATTCTGTGCCTGACGTTAGCGCCTTGCCAGAGGTCTTTTCATCCTGCATAATTACATCCTGACGCTTAATCCGACAGCATCAATGTTGGGTTTTTGTTGTTTCCATTTGTGCTGTTACAGATGGTGGTGCCAACTAATTTTGTTCCCTTGTCTTGAAAGTGGCACGGAGCCGATCAGAGCTGGGAGGGAACCATTACACATCTCATTTGTACTGTGTGGGTTCGTTACAACGTTCCAAATCTGGTTGTAAATATATGTTGATGTGTTAAACCAACAGGAACCCAACTGCCGATCTGTTGAGATCAATGACAACTAAGGCTGTGGTTAATGCGTTGTCACAGTTCATTTCCATGTTCGGGATTCATAAGGTGAGTGACCAAGGACCTAATGTCTCATGCGCAGGTGTGAAATTTGCTCATTCAACAGAACCTCATCATGCGCAATTCCATCCGGCCCTTCAGTCTAATCTACGTACAGAATGTCCTCAGCTGGAGAGAGACTGGGATGACAGGCTTCAATTGTTGATGTTGGTGGCAAAGGAGGCAGAACAAGTACAGGCTTTATGTCTTTGGACATTCTGTGCGTGGTCCCTTGTCAATAATGAAAGATGGTTGTGTTGGTACAGAGTTGCTTGTGAGACTAGTTGACTATACAAATTGACTTAGACATTGTTTCTCTGTAGCTGGAATTACAGCACAGGAGAAATAGGGAGTGTCTCAAAGTAAGATGAGTTAAACAACATGAGTGGGAGTTCAGTCCAGGAGACCAAGGTCCAGTACGTATAGATATTGTCGGTCTGGCAATTCACATCACATATTTTTTAAGATATAATACAAACCGTTTAATGAAGATACCTTGAAATCATAAAACCCTAACTTTAAAGAAGGAAATACATTTATATGGGCTAATATATTTTTACTGTTACGATTGGTGGATGACTAATCTACCTCTCGTACCTATCACTACTGAAAACGTCTCAGACTCACTCCAGCCTACAATCACAAAGTACACGGCGGGGCTACCGGCGCCCGCGCCCGGGTGGTATAAAAGATGGCTTGAAAAATCCTGACAGAAAAAAAAGAATCCTTAAAAAAACCTGCATAATGTATATTAACACCGGGGATAACATCTCAGGAGGGGCCGCCACACTGCCATTACTTTTGGAGTATCAGTATCCATTTGACTCCCCAGCATCTGCCCCGATGTGGCGTTGATATAGTGATAGGGGTGTGTCTCAGTCGGGACCTCCCAAGAGGAGGGTGGACATCTGGTGCCGTTGGGGTCCTGTCACATGTAATTACAGACTTAATCAAGTCCTCTCCATCTCCTTTGCCCTTCCCTACCTCCTCCCTCCTGACTTTGTCTCTCTCCTCCACCCGTCCCCCTCAGTACTTGTCTCTGTCCGTTACTTCTTTCCCTGCACCATCATTTAGTTCGATCCCACAAGTTTTTTTTTCCTCCTTGTTTTTTTTTCTCCTCGATCTTTTTTGGCATCTCTCACCTCCCCGCCCCCCCATCACACCTCCCCCTCCACCTCCTTCCTCACGTCTCTTCACATCCTCTAGGTCAGGAGAAGCTGATCGAGCCTCTTGTTCCCGATTCTTACTTAAACTTCAGATATGTCAGCCTGCCCAGGGAAGCAATGACCTTAGTGGCGCCCGGTGAGGAAGATATACTCTGTTCATTTCAACTGTAGTATATCTGAAGACAACAGAAGACCAACAAGGAGGAAGAGTCAAGGAAAACAATATATATTAAGAGTCTCCACAATTATATTCTGTTGAATATCATCGATATGGCATCAGAATTAAACTTAAAGACTTAAACAAATAATTAAAAGTATCACTGGCCTACCGATGTAGATTGAGTAGTTGGGTGATTTTGCTCTTATAGGTCAATCAGATACCACATGTGTATTTCACCAGTATTCATGTACTTTTTATTGTATTTTTCCAACAGCTGACTTTGACTTTGCAGTAATAGCAATAGTTGGTAATAGGACTCTAATACTAACTAATGCATGTAGGAGTACCACAAGGAGAGGACAAATATTAGCAATATCCAATGAGAATCAGAAATTGAGATATGAACCCAAATTTCCCGAAAGCAAACCAAAAACTGGTTTTGTGTCAACATGAGCAACCCAGTCCAGTCAGCCACCGTAAACGAGATCAGCAGATTGAATGAGCATTATCAATCCATTGCTGGTCTCATACCGACTGTTATCATCTATTCACATGGTTGTTGACTGTTGGCGAAACACTGACATTTGTTGTGAATTAAAAATATTCAATAAATCATGGAAATGGATGAACAAATCAGCCTTTTATATCTTTCAAGGAACGGATTTTGTCATGAAGAAAATATCCAACCTTCCTCTCCCATACTACACGACATGAGTGTCGACTCCAGATGAGTCCCTTAACCAACCACCACACACACTGAAACACGCGGTCGGACTCGGTCACACCCAGACACTCACCCATGGCAAAGAATGGGATCCCCAGTAGCGTGGAGTTAAACTTCCCGTCCGATATAAAGAAAATCCCTGCGGCCGTCACGTTGGCGATGCATATGGTGAGCACGCCCAGCAGGCCCAGGAACGGCTTCCCCCTCAGGCAGTCCCGCATAGAGCTGGAGATGGTGGCGGCCAGGAGCACCAGCACCAGGCTGACCAGCACCTCCCCCTTTGCCAACACGCCAGTCTGGTGGAAGTCGCGCCACAGGCTGAAGGAGGTAAGCGACTGGATGTGGAGCTGGTCCGGCGCGTTCGGCGCCTCGGCCGCCGACAGTCGGCTGACCAGTGCGCAGAACTCGTTCTCCCAGCGCTCGGCGATGGCATCCTGCACCACTGGTCCATGGTTGCGGAGGTAGTAGGTGATCTGAACGGCGCGGGCAAACTTGACCTGCTGGTCGCGGCTGTTGGCCGAGAAGGACACGCCTCCCAGCTGGTGGCCGATGAACGACACACGGCCATCCTGTAAAGGGGATTACGATACTTTTATTAATTAGCTCTGACACAAGTTTTGTTGAAAAACATCATTTTAAACGCTTGACACATTTGAATGGAAACCAGTTTTGGTGTCAGCACCAGCTGCACACCGGAGAGCTCCAGCCCACCAGGAGCAGGGCGGCAGCAGCTCTCTGCCCTCTTTTGCTCCGGGGACAATTTATCGCCCCACCCGGACTCGTGGCTGTGGACTGAGCTGGTTTTTGAGGGATGATGTGCAGCTCCATTGTTGGGACTGATTCCATTTAATCACAGCGCATTCAACACACCACGGGGGCAAGAGTTTGGAGATAATGTGATTGTGCAATAAGAGTTGTGGTGGGGCAATAGGTCTGTCAGGAAGAGACATGGAGGTTGTTCTTGACCGTTCTCATTTAAGTAGTCGTGGTAGCACAGTATATTTAGAATATGCCACATGGTACAATATGCTCTTCATGTCCAACAGAAGCAGGTTATGCTTTAGCACAGGGCTACTTTGTACGGTGGCTCTGAAGTGCAAATAGGAAAACACAACGACATTAACTTCTTATGGAAAGTGACATGGAGGATTCAAATTACCGTCACTCCTTAACTATTTGCACAATGGGATTCGCTCAATGCGTGACAGATATTGACAGAGCCCTGTATCATTTCCTGTCCTGTCTGTCCAATCAGAAGGGTCCGTCCTCTGCTATAAGGTCCTACCCTTTCCGTAAGACTTAACCTCTTTGTGTTTTCCTATTTGTGGTTGTGCTTTGCACTTCAGAGCCACCATAACTCTGAAATCAACTGAGAGCGACTTGTTTATCACAGTCTATTGTTACATCACATTATTACATCATCCCTTTGACGTGGAAAAGGTTTGAAACAGACAACCCTCAATGAGACAGCTGCCTGTTGGGGGAGGATGTGCTGCCAGAGGTGTGTGTGGCCGTCATCGCCGTGTCTGAAAATTACACTTTTTGGGGGGGAGCGACAATGCAATGTAAACAAAACAATGGGTCCTGATACAGCTTCTATTGGGGCTTCAGTGCCAAAACCAGGTTGAAAAAGTATCATTCATTTTTTCGCTGAATGCACTTGCAGCCTGGCTTTAAATTTCACCCACTGTGGCAGCGAGACTCATTTAGAAATGCAGTGCAGTGCCTGAATTTTATCAGGACCAATGTAATCATGAAGATATATCTTACATAACATTATCCGGCACAATAAAACAGCCGTAGTATGCGGCTTCACATTGGGGGTGTTATAGATCTCAGGCTTCTGGGTAGTAATAAATCTGAGTGGTTGTTTCTGTAAACCAGGGGTCTTCAACGTTTTTCAGGCCAAGGACCTCCAAACTAGATGGAGCAGGGACCCCCTATTCTACGGAGTTTGGTCCGCCATCTTTTACTTTTGAGCTTGGCGCTCTTTAGACGTGAGCATGGACGGATCTGATTGGCTGGTGCCGGTGACGTCGTTTCAGCGTGATGAGTGAACCGGTGTCCAGCTTGAGACAACGTCTCCTCCGTCAATTTATCTGTTTCTACAATATGGTTGATTCATGTTAATGTGTATTTAAAGACCATAAATACAACTCTGATCCTGAAGACGTTTCAATTTGTGGGAAAAGATTGGTTGAAAAAAGAATGAAAAATAAATTTAACAAATAAACTCTTATCAACCAAAAATGTCGCGACCCCCCTACAGTACCTCCACAGACCCCCTGTTGAAGACCTCTGCTGTAAACAATTAACCAGCAGAGAGACAAAAGAATTCTGCAACACGTCACCTTAAAGTCACCTAAGTGATATCATCATTCAGGGTAGTATCTAACTCTAATACATCCACTTATCAGGCAACATCTCTGCGCTGCTTTATTACTCTAAAAACCCTCCGACACTGCGCTTCCAATCTGTCGTTTGATGGCAAAGCACAAGTGTGTTTTTGTAATATAAATCACTCAGCAATCGCTAAAAGAATTTAGGAGCTTGAGCTCTGATTCCACAAAACATTTTCCATCCAGCGCAGTGTGTTAAACTTCACTAAACCTCACCATCCTGTGGATGAACCTCTGCACCCACACTGAGCTAATGCTGTGCAGAGACTGTGGGATTTCATACATAAATTGCACTGAGAATAGATGACGTAATCGGGGCAAAAATTGCAAACTGCGAGGTTGAGCTTTTGAAAAATGTTCAAGCTTTGTTTCTATTTTAGTTTTTTGGTCCATGTGAGAGATAAAGAGTGCGAATAGGTAGCAAGTGTGTGCGTGCCTGAGTGTGTGTACAGAAATCCCTGCGAGATAAAGAGTGATGTGTGGATCGGCAGGAAGTGACCCCCCCTGTGGTGACGGGCGGGGGAGGGGGGGCAGAATATTGCAGGTTTGATGAACACATTAAAACAGAGAAGCCATTCTATCCACGTATGCAGGAAGGAGTCTGTAAAAGCAGCATATGAGATATGAGGGTTTTACTTAAATATTTGGGTGACACATATTTTAAGGGTTTGCTTCCTGGACAACCGGCTCATCACATTTCCAAGAACTCTGCTTTACCGTTTGGTAGAGCACATGAAAATGTATTGACCCGTACGTAGCTGAATAAAAGTCACAGCGATGGCTTCTCAGGCCGTGATGTAAAGACGGTTTGATCAGACGCTTATTGCCCAGAGTGCTTTCTTCGTAGGACAGTAAAGAGTCGCCTGCTGTCGATACTCACTTCCATGTGATGGTATTGCAGTTTATTTATAGCCCGACATTAGCTTATTACTTTCTGGAGATTGAGGTCCTGCTTCAGACACTTGGAAGAAGTTTACTTTCATTCACTTTTAGACGTGATGCAAAAAATGTATTTAAAAATAAAAAAGAAACAATTCAGTGTTATCAAATTATTGCTTGTTATCAAACAAAAACATTTTCTAAATCCAAGCACATAGAAATAAAGAAAATACATTGTGATGCTTTACGGGATCAGGAGCTTGACATGAACTGAGACCTGACATCTACATCACCAACATAAGTACCAACTGTTGAATCCACATATTCACAAGATTGCCTTGAACGCCACTGAACTGCTGGCTGAGCGGGACAAAGGGACAGACGGGTATCAGGAGCATTGTATTCTACCTCTCCATCATTACCCTTTGACAGTAGAAAAGACAAGCCCTAAATATAAAAACCTTCAACTAGGTACAATAACTAATGAGTGAGCTGATCAGTGCCACGAAACTTAAAACATATAATGTTACCACGTTCATCTCAGCTCAACAGGACTTTACATTTGGCCAACCGGACACTGGAAGACAACATTTCCATGAGCTGAACCCAACTGGGCCCTGACGGCCTATTTATCCCTCAGCAGATGACGGGAGCCGTTTGCTGCTTTGGGACCTCAGCGATCAGCCATCTGTACCGAACCGGCAGATCGTCGGCTGCTAGCGGTGTGAACGCATGAAGCCACGATGCCCCGTCCAGGACTGTGTGCAAGTCAATAGCAATCACAGCAACAGCCTCGGGGTGACCTTTGCCCCCAACCACTGAGCAGCAGTACCAGTATCAATTACGAAACATCTGTAAAATAAGCAGCTCAATGATAATGAAATCATTTATGCTTTCATCTCGTCATGTCTACTATACGTTTTTCTCTTTAAACTCACACAAGTCCAAGAGGGCAAAGCAAACCCACGAGGTCCTGGCATGTGACTGCACAGGTGACCCATGACCTTTAGATATAATGTCATCATTCTATCAATTACCTTCAAGGCCCATCGTAATCTGGTACCATATTATATCAAGGACTTTTTAACCCTTTACATTCCAGCTGACTGAAAAGTTCCATTGAATAGACTGATAATAAAAGAGTGACTCATCTGGAGAGCTTGAAAGGTTCTTATTAAGAGCTGCCAGGTATTTGTTACATTTCCTGCATGTCCAATATATTTCTATATTAACTCTTTAACACCTGATAGTTTAAAATGAGCAGCTGAAAAAGCCGCAGAGGAGTAAAGACAAAGAATAAATATTTAGACCATCTTTTCCAGACTAAATCCTTACTAACCAAGTCAAAAGTGACTCATCTCTTACAAATAGCTGAATGTATTTTAGATAATAAAAGCCAAAATGGAAGGAAGAATGTTCTGGTAGTTTGTGGGTTCTCTGAGTAAAAGTAAAAAACTAGTGTTGTGGGATTTTGGTGCTTTAAAACTAACTAACTAACCATGGCAGCGACAGAGCAGCAAATAAAAAATAAAAAATTAGTTTTTTACTGAATTTCTTTTAGTTGTTTCTGATTTTCTCTTTTTATATAATTTTGTTGTATAATTCTATCATTCTATCGGCCGCTGGCTGGGATCGACTCCAGTCTCCCCCCGTGTGCAGGATAAGCGGTTTGCAGATGGGTGGAATTCCGAGGTGATATCTTGATGTATAATCCCATTTTATTCTGCCGTGAAACTAAACAAAGGGGTCAAACTGTCGCCGTGATGCATCGTGAACCTCTTGAACCACAATCGTCACTACGAACAATCTTCATGGAAACCTCAAACGTGTTTTAGAAGTATACAGGATTCCTACTAGCCGGTTCACAGTTGCCCCCACGCTGCTTCTCCAGACTGGTTCTCTAATAAATTCTTATAATGATTTAGATACGGAAGACAAGTAAGTGACAACCCCACTTCCAAAAGAATCAAAGTCGGCCCTTTAAAGAAGACAAATCCCCAAAATATGAAGATGCCTGACTTTTTCCCCCTGAACTGCAGCGATGTGTTGAGGCAACTGCATTTCCATTTGCATCGATCCTTTGAGGGAATGCTGGGATAAAACCCATAAATGCTAAACTGACATTTCATATTGGACTCCAAAACCAGGATGCACAGCGTGTCCCTTCACCTGGACAGACACACAAACACGACTCTACATTTCTGCCTCGTTTCAACGCGCCGGGCTGCGATACATTAGATGTGTGTGCACGTGGCAGGAAGGGACCATTAAAGCGTGCACATCACATCCCAGTCACATGTCTGTCGCGTTGAATGAGCTGGTTCTCGTGTCCTTTGGGCCTCATAATAAAACGCTCGTAAATATCAGACTTAAGGAAAAACGTTGTTATTACAAATTTATAAAAAAGTAAATGTGCGTCTCAGCAGCGGCTGTACAGGGAACATCGAGCCAGCATGTAAACCTTTGAGAAGCTGGATTTTTATACTCTCAGCTTGGATACATGGATCAGTATGTGTCTAACAATCATCAACCAGATAGTAGTCAACATTTTGTTATGGGACATTTATCATCTTCTTTAATGTCCACCAGTAGAACAGCTGCTTCTTTGCGCTGGACGAGGAGTTTGTGGACTGAAACCAAGATGTGTTGAACACACTTGGAATGATGATGGTACACGCAGAGTAAAGGCTACAACGCGTGATCCCCACATTGCTGCTTCGTTATCTCTAAATAAGAGGATTTCAGTGGACTCGTTTTTATTGATTTTTTTTTACAAAATGGGCAAAAAAGAACCACAGGCGCTGCCATGCGGATATATTGGGTAAGTAAGAGAATAAATATGAAGCAAAATATATTCTCCAAACCTCAAAAGGATGTTCACAGATTTTCAGTGTAAAAGCCTCACACACACACACACATATGAACTGGGCTCCATCCGCAGAGCACATGGTCCTGGTGCCTCCGTGGGCCTTTTCACTGAACCTGCAGCCACCAGCATCATCTCGTTGCTTGATGCTAAGATGATTGACACACGGTCACATCTCAGAGAGAGGACGGAATCCAGGCAGGTGAGGGTCCCATATATATGTCATGCTGCCTGGAGAAGGACGGAGGGGAGACACTGCATCAAAAGAAGGCAGGGTTTCCCTCTGCGCGTGTGTGTGTGTGTGTGTGTGTGTGTGTGTGCGATGAGAACAGAGCAGCTACATGCAGCCAACCAATGCACCTGCACCGGCAAGGGAGGTGGGGGAACCACCGTGTGTTGTTTGGAGAGGGTTCCCTCCTTCTTCACTGACATTTGTGGCAATCTACATTGGCAGCCCCCCCCCCCCCCCCAACCCCCCAGCACCAGCACCAGCACCAGCAGTCCCTGAGCTAATAGAACCCAGGCTTCCTTCATTCACAAATTATGCCGAGCTCCTTCGGTTCACATGCAGGCTGCTGCTGCGCCGTCACCTCCGCGCTGATGGAGGGAGGGAGGGAGGGGGGAATCCCTTGTATCCACAGGCCGGGCGCGCACGCGTGCGCGTGTGGTGCTGTAACTCACCTTCAGCGTCGTGTTCGGGTAGCTCAGGGGCACCTTATGGAAGGTGCTGTTGGAGAGCACCGCCTGCCCGATGTCCTCGAAGATGGTGACGATGTCGTCCAGCAGGCAGCGCTTGTCCCGGTGTCTCAGCACGCAGAGGTGCGCGAACGTGTAGTTGAACCCTTTGTAGTTGACGCGCAGGTCCAGCACCTGCTTGTGGACCCGCAGGACCTGGTCGGCGAGCTCCAGGATGTTCCCGCCGGACTTGGCGAGCAGGATGATCCGGCCGTATCTGCCCGGCGTGTGCAGATCCGAGTACAGCTTGTGCTTCGACTGGTCGATGGGGAACAGGCTGTTGGCGAGACTGCGCTCGATCTTGGCGAGGCTGTGGGTCGGCGCGACCAGCACCTCCAGGTCCGTCTCCGGCTTGAATCGGCTGAGCACGGTGGACCCGAAGATGATGGTGAGGACCGCGGGGACGGTGAGGAAGAACACGGGGTGCCTGCTAACGAATAAGCCCAGCCAGTAGAACGAAGCCTTGAGCCCTCTGTGGACCACTTGCCGCAGCATCCTCCACAAAATCCCGCCCGCAGATGCCCCGTCTCCTCCGATGAAGCACATGTGACATCAGCCTCCGTTTCCCCCCCGCGGCGCAGTCCCATCCGTCAGGAGAATTACACCAGCTACACCGCCATGCACGCACGCACGCGCGCGCGCGCGCGCACTCACTCCATCACACACATATTGCAACACCTGGAGAAAAAACAGCACTGCAGCAATTCACGGCGAGACGGACCAGCGCGCAGTCGCGCGCGCACACACGCACGCACGTAAGCGCACGCACGCAGACAGTCAGAGAGCCATCGCGCGTCAGCCGATCGAGATCGAGTCCGCGTCGTCGGATCCTCGGGCCGTTCCGCCTCCTCCCGCGTGTGATGAAGTGAGCCGGGGGGGCGCGGGGGGGGGGCGCGCCGCGGGTCCTCTGCCTCGCCGCACCGGCGCTGTGAGGTGCGTGCGTGTGCCTCCCGTCCGCCTCCAGAGCCGCTCTCATTCACACCGGCGGCGGCGTCACATCGGTGTGCTTCACTGTAACCATGTGGCGGGGCGGGGAAGGGGCGGGGCTTATTCTAGTAGCTGTGACAGCAACAGGCGACGTGATCGTTGTTGGAATGTGCTGCTGCTGGTGGCCTAGTGACCAAAACGTGCACCGGGACGCGGTTCCTCCGTTGCGGGAGCTCCGCTCTGCGTGCTCAGCGGTTCATGCAGGTGAGGCAGGGTGATGGGACAAGATCACACCAACATAAATACATGTTGAAAACACATGTGGACCCTCAGACAGGCCAAGATTGTGCGCACTTTGCATTAAATGTTTATCTGACGCTTTTGTCCAAAGCGACTTACAATCAGTGCATTTCAACCATAAGGACACAAACTCAGAAGAACAAGAAACAAGAAAGGGCAATTTTCTCAAATAATACAAAAAACACCAAGATGGACTGTTCAACTACATTGATACACGGAGACACATTTGTACTTGTCTCTGTGAGGACACGCCTAAGGACATATTACATTACATTACCTAACGCGTCATTTTATCCAAAGCGACTTACATTACACTTTAAACACATGGCTTTTTCACATTTTTGCCTGGGGGGCAATTAGGGGTTAGGAGTCTTGCTCAGGGACACTTCGACATAGAACATGGGGCAGCCTGGACTCGAACCACCAACCTTGTGCTTCCCAGCACACCTTCTCTAACCCCTGCGCCAATACAACCCCTTCACCACCGTTACTACCGGGTTCCTAACCGTGACCCTAACGGACATTTTCAGAGCAATTACACCAGAACTTGGTGTTCCAAGTTTATGTTATTGGTGAAGAAATCCATTCATATAACGCACAATAAAAACGTTTTCATGGAATGGGTTCCAGTATGTTGGTATTATCCTTTTTTTACAGCCAGTGTGCTCCGTCTGCCCAGCACCACAGTGAACAGAGCACAGTACATTTTTCTTTACTGTATCAGCATGAAAATGTGAACGCTGCCACCAAAATGGAACGATTAAGGTTTGAGCCTTTCATCAACAAATCAAAGGGTTCGTCACAAGTGTGGAAGAAATGCAAAGTTTTTTAACATCACGTGATGAACACCGCACGCTGCAGCCGAGCGTCCACTGTCTCACACGCTGTCCTGTCTGTACGGGTTGCGATGCAGAGAACATCTGGAAAGCCGCTGCACGTCGTGCTCTTGGTAAAGTTCTGTTGGTTTATTTGGCGCTTAATAAACTCGATGTTCCACATTTCACTGGTTCAATTGTCTGATGATGAACGATGGATATATAATGATTCTCACACACATATAATAAACTAGTTCTATGTGGTCATCAACATACATATGATACATACGCTGATACATAGATCCTGTTCATTCGTATCAATCTACATACTCTGAAGGAGTTGAGATCATTATTCTCATTGGATGATGATCATCATGAAGCCTCCTGCAAACAGACACATTTAAAGAAATATAATCTGATTGATTAGAGTGACGAGGCCTTAAATGAGCCGTTACATTTTACCAACACTTGCACATTCAACTTGCCACAATTATCTGATTATTTTGTATCGCACAATTTCGCAAATTTGCCTCAGAGGTCTTTACAGTCTGTACACATGTGACATCCTCTGTCCAGAAACCGTCACATCGGCACAGGAGAAACTCCCCAAACAATGAAAAGGTATTTGATCAGCCTGATCTCCAAAACCTGTTCATAAAAGTGTCTACGAAAATCTTGAACATAAATTCGTAGAGATACATACTAAATAAATACGGACTGCAACTGATGACGTCACCCTATTCAAAGTGAACGGGGACCTGCACGCCGTAAACACAATTCATTCACAACGTGAAGTCTAACCATGTCAAATAAAGGCGTTATGATTGCATTTTAACGAGACATCAATGTTAACTGGTAAGAATAGAATACTAACTCTAACCCCCTCAAAAAATCCAACATGGCGGAGAGACGTTCACTCAAGAATCCAACAAGGTCCGCCATGTTGTTCACTCAGGGGGCGTGGTTAACCACCGCCAGTTCCTGTGTATCGTTACCAATTTGTATGTTCAAGATTTTCGTATCCATGTTTACCAACAGGTTTTGGAGATCACGTTGATTTGATGGGAAGAATAAAGGGAAGAAAACTTTAGAGACACAGGACCTCCCTGGGACAGAGAGACTGCGATGGACGTACATGAACAATGAACAATTGTAAGAGAATTATAATACGCTCAATTTATCCAACAGAAATGATGTGTGTTCATGATGATCTCCTGCTCGTCAGCGGAGGGGAAAAAAGACGCTCTTCCTTTGATTTAATTTGCCGTTGTACCGTTAAAAATCCTTCTAACGTAAGACGATTATCCTGATGACTGACATCTGGTTCAAACTAAAGAGACGGTTTGAGTGCCGATCGGCCGTCGAGGAACCAAGATAGTCTGATGTCAATCATCTCGTTAATTTGAGCTGGATAATGGGACATTTGATCGACTTAGTTGAACCATGTATGAGGAACAGGGGCCATGTGAGTCCGGGGTATCGTGTACATTGCTGCTTTAACGTGGTCACTTGTGTAGAAGCACTATGTCATTGCTTGATGCCTCTGCTGTATTTTGTTTTACCAAAGAAAGTTAGATAAGGATGTGTAGCCATCTAGTTCGTTCTGTTTGTAGAGGCGGGTAGTCAAGCCCAACTCAACCACAGGTCCCTGCCTCCCCCACTGAGTACAACCACATATTAAGATTGGAATGGTTGATATTAATAATTTGTGGAAAATTGCCATCCGTTTGAGTAACTTTCCCCAACGGACTGACCTGTGTTCGCCCCCCACGCCAGCCAGACGACCCCAAAAACGGGATGTAACAATGGCACAGATTACTTTGTGTTACTTTGTGTTACTTTGTGTCTATGCACTGGGCTCGGCGTCCGTGCGTGTTCTGGTTTGTTTGCCTTCCAGTCAGTTTGTGTGTTTATGGGTGCGGTGTCGGTGTCACTTTATGAAGGAGATTTTATGCCCGAGTGGTTTCTTTTTCCCAAATGCTGGCACTGTAATCCTGCAGGACTCTCCAAGGGCTGCTGAATCAAAGCCATTCATCAGCACCTTCACAGACTCATACCAGGATGATCAAAAGACAATGTGATCCACATTCACTCACAAAAAATACATGCATATTGAAATGGATGAAATCAAATCCCTCTTTAGGGTCAAATAACCTTACTGGATGCTTTTTAACCTCAACTCTCCCCTTACTCTAGATGGTAACTGAGCAAGAGATTTTAAGTGTTCTACTGACACATACTCCTAACTTTATTATTGCTCTTGTGAAGGCCTCCAAGAAACTGGAGCGGCAAAAATGGGATTTGTTTTCCTGTCAGGCTGTGGTTGCCAATTTGCCTGCTCAAACTAATTATTTTAATCGTCTGATCCTATTGGATCCGACTAAACCCACATGCAAACCATCGACAGCTTCCTTACCCACGTAGAAGCCACAATGGGTAAAGAAAATGACGTATTAGCTGAAATTTATTACATTGATGGAGAGACTTACTAAACAATTTTGTCAACAGCAACCAACCAGCTCTTTATTCAGACTAAATGTACTAGATGTATTGCTCATCTATAGCACCCTTTCACTTAGTTGTTGTCATGTTGATTGTGGTGCTGGACCCAAGAGCAGAACACGGGAGAAAAGGTTCAACAGTCTTTATTTATAGCGAACCAGGGGTTTCAACGTTTAGAGCGGGGGGGGATGGTCGGCAGGCTGGAGCAGGTCCGGGATACAGGTTACGGGAATCCAGAGTGGCGTTAACGGCTGGTAAGACTGTGGTGCGTTCAAGCCTTTGCGTAAGTTCCAGGTTTGTGAACTGACGATCGGGTGGGGACTGCGTGGAAGGCTGGAGAATACAAAGCCTGGAGCTTGATTCCAGCTGTGCCGGTCAATTGGTGGGGGGGCACCGCCCAGACCACGACAGTTGTAGTTGTTACAGATTCAACCCAGTGATCTTTAGGATCGTCTTTAAAGAAACACTCAACTGTCATTTTGAAATGATGTCTAATCGGCTAATGTATCTAACCAACACATCCAGTGTAGACAGCCTCCATTCGAAAGTGTCACGATTTCCTGCTGCTTGCGGTGCTTGGTTTACTTCACTACCTCCCCTTATGTGTTTACCTCCCTTGTGATTGCCTCAACTCCGAATGTTTCCTACTGTGTCTAATCACCTGCACCTCCCCAGTGTGTTCTAACCCCTTGTGTCTGTTGGTTTAGTGACGCGTACCTGCTCTAATGGGAACAATCACATTTTTGTAGGCCCCGTTATAGTTTGCGGACTTCTTGGCGTGTGGGAACTTGTATGGAGTGTCACGTCTTCACTCATCATTTATTGCTTGCAAGCAGGAGGTCGAATACACTGTGGAAATACTGTGGAAATGGCGTCTCCGTGCAGTAAAAACACTTTTTTTACACACACATGTGAAGGTCATCCTCAGTGGCAGGTACGAGAAGTTGCAAACCTGATTAGCACACAACACGTCTTGGATTGATGGAGTTTCCAAGGAAAAGGGTAAGGACATTTTTTGTTTTATTGGAGAAATGAAGTCATTTCTGGACCCCCTCTGCTTTAGACCAAGATTATGTCCAGTATATAAAGCGACTGCAGTAGCTTGCGCTGTGCCATGATTCATTTGAGTTTACTCAATAATTTGCCAAGACCTGGAATCTCTAGCAATTAATTCTATTGTCCAATGACTCATCACTTTGAATGTGTTTTTATGCCAATCAAACGCATTTCATTCATTCATAAAAGCAACGGTCTGAAATCACATCAAACTCCCTTAAAAGTATCTCAGAGGCAGCACAAGGATCATCAGTGAGATGTCCTTGGTATCCCAAAGATACCTACGCACAATGAGGATTCATGATGCCATTTCTGACTGTGCTATCAATAGCTTTAGGGAATAATGGGGTAAAGGAATGCTCCCTCCTCCCTCC